ATTTATTTATTTATTTATTTATTTGTGTTTTTGCATGTAGCAATGTACGTAGAAGCGATGGTCAACGTTCCTTTTTTTTTTGGGCCATGGCCAACATTGCATGCAGCAATGGCCGCCGCCCACCCACTTGCTTCAAAAAGCAGTGACCAGCAGACTTGCTTAGGAACCCGGTCGTGAAAGAAAAAACACCTGAGTTCTGAAGGGTCAGGCTACCCACTAATGATTAGAAGAATGTAGAAAATGGGGGGGGGAGGGGGGAGGACCAGAATAGAGAGTGCAGAGGATATTAGGCATTTTCAGAGATCCACGGAGAGGGAAGGAAGATGGACAATACATCCAAGTTGCATGGCGATGGGAGAGACCACCCACTGCACCCCAACGTAAGTTACATGACTGCATCGGAACCAGGAACATAGCTTGCATTCGTTATCAGTGTGCGTTGTCGGAGAAAAGGGGGGTAGGAATACGTAGGCAGGGAGAAAGAGGTCCTGGAGGAACAGGAAGAGGGAAGAGGACGTCAGCAGCAGGAGGTAGAGAAGAAATACGTAGCCAGGAGGAGGAAAAAGAGTGGAAGACGTACCCATGCACGGGCCAGCCGGGCGGGAGGGAAGGGGAGGGGAAGGGAGGGGAGGGTAGGGGAGGGGAGGGGAGGGGAGGGGAGGGTAGGAGGTCGTTAACTCTTCATTGCCTCGTGGCAACTCCGAAGCCAATGGCATGACATCTCTTCATGTGTCAAGGACCAGGGAAAACAGGGTGACCCGGGGGACCCGGCTGGTATAGCCTAGCTAAAGACGCAATTGCTGTTATATTATTTTGCGTTTTTTCCATGTTCTTTGAAAATAGCAATGCTGCAATGAGATGAATATCAGATCAGGACTCAAAATTACAATGAGACCTCAAAGAATACCAGCTTGCGTTACACCTGGCAGCTATGGCTGCCTCTGATTCATCACAGGTAGGTCCCCCTCTCTCTTTCTGTGTCGCTCTTCTCCCTCTCCTCTCTCTCTTAGATCGTTAACCCTCTCTGTACGTCTTCAACCTCCTGCCCCACTCTCTCCTCCCCCCCCCCCCCCCCCCCCCCCCCCCCTCCTCTCTCTCTCTCTCTCTCTCTCTCTCTCTCTCTCTCTCTCTCTCTCTCTCTCTCTCTCTCTCTCTCTCT